TTTGCCCCTTTTCCCTTAAAGGAAGTACTGTACAGCTTCTTTTTGGCATATTCAAATAGCGATGCCCAGCATCACCGCTCTTGTGCTTTGGGGCTATTATTAAGTTTTTTAAAAAAAGTTAGGAGAACACAAGCACTGTGCACTGTGATAACATGCAGTAAGTCTGATACTACTAAGAGATGGCTGCTAAGGGACTAATGGGCAGGTAGTAGATACAATGTGGATACAGTGCACGGAGCGATGACTCATGTCCCAGGCAGGATGTGGAACTGCGAGAGATTTCATCATGCTGCGTAGAGCTGTATATGTAATTTATGAGTCATTCGTATCTGTAGTTTCCATTCAGTGTTTTCAGACCCTAATTGACTGCAGATAGCTGAGTGTGTGGAAAGTGAAACCAGGGAGAAGGGGAAGCTGTTGTACAGAAAAGTTGACCAATATATCCAAACCCAAAGCTCCAAACCCAAAGCTAAATGGAAACCAGAGATGTGATAAAAGTGATGTGGAACATCATGGAGAAGCGCAAGGGTGGTCAACAAGCAATGCCTGGACATCTATCTGCTTATCAACACCGGGCAAAGGGAAGTTTAGATCCCTACGTCGACTTTCATACAAATACCAACTCTGTATTGAATAAAGGTTCAAATGTGAAAGAAAGGGTTTTAAATTTTTAGAAGAAAATTCTTACTGACCCGAAGGTAAGAAAGAATATCTTAAATAAGGCAAAAAACTCATTTTGTTCAGTTACATTAAAATGAAAATATTCTGTTCTTGGAAAGACAAAGAGTGAAAGGACAAGCTGCTAATACTGAGGAGATATTTGCAATACACTGATAACAGAAGTTTAGTATCCAGAAATAATAAGAAAGAGTCAACCTATTTGAAAAGTGGACAGACTGAAAAATGCAGTGATCAATAATGAAACAGGAACGGCAGATAAGTACTCAGAAGCCTGACTCGATTTTTAAGTAATCAAATTAAGACCATACTTTATACCTGTAGATTGACAAAAATTAATCTGACAGTATTGACAAGGCTGTAGAGTAGTGAGCACAGCCACAAGCTGCTGGTGGGATGTTAAAATAGAGTAACCCCTTTGGAAAATAATTTTAAATTATTATTGACAATAATTTTATAACACACAGCCCAACGAATAACTTCACTCCTAGTCTTATTTCTAGAACATTATTTTTCAAACTGCAGAATAACCGAGGCTGGCTATATATTTTTCTTAAAGGACACAAAGTAGAATAGAAAATAAGAATACTTCATTTGTAATAAGGGTAAACATTGCTTTGTGATAGTGTTTCTAGTATAGATGAGTGTGTGTTTTGTTGGATTGTGAGAGAGGGGTGGGTACTTGAGAACTGAAAAACAGCATCCTCTGAGTTCTTGTGTATATGTGCTTTGGGCAACATACCTAAGGTATTATTTATACTACTTTATATAAATATATAAATAAGTATTTATAATATATTATAGTATTATATTTATTACATTTATACTACTTTATATAAATATATAAATAAGTATTATTTATAAATAGCAATAAATTGGGGGGAAAAGATACCACATGTCCACTGACAGAAGACTGGATTAAAACCTGCACAGTGGGATATTGCACAACATTAAAAATGAGTGAACTGTAGTTACATATAATATAAATAGATCTTAGAATGTAATGTTGAGCAAAAAAGCAGTTCCCAAAAGGCTATAAACATGATGTCCTAGTTATAAATATCCAAAAAAATCTATGCTTAGCATTATATTATTTAAATATATGTGTGTGTCAAGTATATTTTAAAAGGAAGAGCAAGGTATGGTATATATTCATACAGTGGAATTTTTTTTTTTTTGAGACAGGGTGTCAATGTTTTTTTGGCGGGCCCTGAACTCACTAGTCCAGGCTGTCCTCAGACTTGCAGTGATTCTCCTGTTTCAGGCTCCTTCCTGAGTGCTAGGATTATAGGTGTGCACCATTCCTTATACAATGGAATATTAAGCCATTAAAAGGAATAAGGCACCAAAGCATGCTACCAATAGATGGACCTTGAAAACATACTGTGTGAACACCAGCTACACAAAAGGCCACAGATTTCTATTGTTTTCATATAAAATATCCAGAATTGGCAAATCCAGACACAGAATATAGATTAATGGTTGTCAGAAACTGCAGGGTGGGGAGAGGAACTAATAGTTGCAGAGTTTCTACTGGGGATGATGCTAGAAATATTCAGGAACTAGAAAATGGTAAGAACTAGATTGTGGTAAAAGCATGTAACATGAGATTTATAGTTTAACATTTCTAGGTGTACAATACTGTATTAACTGTAGGTAGTGCTTTACAAGAAGTCTCTAGAACTGACTCTGTGCACATCTGAAAATTCATACCTATTGGTTAGCAAGCTTTTAAAACGAGCAAGGGGGCTGGGGATTTAGCTCAGTGGTTTGGCTGCTTGCTTCATAAGCATAAGGTGGGGGGGATTTGTGATAGTGTTTCTAGTATAGATGAGTGTGTGTTTTGTTGGATTGTGAGAGAGGGGTGGGTACTTGAGAACTGAAAAACAGCATCCTCTGAGTTCTTGTGTATATGTGCTTTGGGCAACATACCTAAGGTATTATTTATACTACTTTATATAAATATATAAATAAGTATTTATAATATATTATAGTATTATATTTATTACATTTATACTACTTTATATAAATATATAAATAAGTATTATTTATAAATAGCAATAAATTGGGGGGAAAAGATACCACATGTCCACTGACAGAAGACTGGATTAAAACCTGCACAGTGGGATATTGCACAACATTAAAAATGAGTGAACTGTAGTTACATATAATATAAATAGATCTTAGAATGTAATGTTGAGCAAAAAAGCAGTTCCCAAAAGGCTATAAACATGATGTCCTAGTTATAAATATCCAAAAAAATCTATGCTTAGCATTATATTATTTAAATATATGTGTGTGTCAAGTATATTTTAAAAGGAAGAGCAAGGTATGGTATATATTCATACAGTGGAATTTTTTTTTTTTTGAGACAGGGTGTCAATGTTTTTTTGGCGGGCCCTGAACTCACTAGTCCAGGCTGTCCTCAGACTTGCAGTGATTCTCCTGTTTCAGGCTCCTTCCTGAGTGCTAGGATTATAGGTGTGCACCATTCCTTATACAATGGAATATTAAGCCATTAAAAGGAATAAGGCACCAAAGCATGCTACCAATAGATGGACCTTGAAAACATACTGTGTGAACACCAGCTACACAAAAGGCCACAGATTTCTATTGTTTTCATATAAAATATCCAGAATTGGCAAATCCAGACACAGAATATAGATTAATGGTTGTCAGAAACTGCAGGGTGGGGAGAGGAACTAATAGTTGCAGAGTTTCTACTGGGGATGATGCTAGAAATATTCAGGAACTAGAAAATGGTAAGAACTAGATTGTGGTAAAAGCATGTAACATGAGATTTATAGTTTAACATTTCTAGGTGTACAATACTGTATTAACTGTAGGTAGTGCTTTACAAGAAGTCTCTAGAACTGACTCTGTGCACATCTGAAAATTCATACCTATTGGTTAGCAAGCTTTTAAAACGAGCAAGGGGGCTGGGGATTTAGCTCAGTGGTTTGGCTGCTTGCTTCATAAGCATAAGGTGGGGGGGCACAAAAAACCAGAAGAGCAAGGGAATGAGTAAAAGTATATTTAGTCAGGATACTGATTACCTCTGGGAATCAGGCAGGGAATGGGTTGGAGAAAAATAAAAGTATTTACAATATTCTAGTTTTTGAGTTATTTATAGGTGTTCACTTATTACTGTGCTTCATGATGTGTGCGCTACATATTTCTATATGTACAGTATATAATATAAGCTTTAAGAGAAAAAAATCTAAAATAAGACAGCATTACAGGTAAATGGCTGACTGGCTTCTGGCTTTCTGATACAGACATTTTGAATTTCCATGGCGTCCTGGCTTCTGCATGGCCCCGGATGCAGTTGTACTGACCCCTGGTGGCTAGAAAGTGAAAGGCAGCAGGGTAACGGGATAAGGTTGCAGAGAAAGTCACAGGAAGTTTCCAGGCTCATCCAAGCACCCAGCAGTTCACTAGGCAGTTGTCCACGAGTTTAGGCTTTATCCAGTCTCGCCCAATGTGGGAAAGAGTCCCGCATATTCCTGATATGGGTTCCCTGCTCTTTTCCTTGGCTGTGTACCACTCTCATGTAAGCCCAGCTCGGAGGAGTGCACCTTCACCAAGACCTGTCCCTGGGTGAACCAGAAGGCCGTCTGTCTCCAACCAGATGTTAGGGCTCGATGAGCCTGAGTGGAGCTCCCAGCCTCACCTCGAAAAGGAGAGACTTGGATTCTGATCCTGTTTCCAAATTCCCTTTGTTTAGTCATGTCACCTTTTGGGGGAGATGATGAATTGAAGCCTCTAGGAAGAGTTGGCCGGGTGACTTCAGAGATGTGAGGGCCAGCTGAAAGAACCTGCCCATGTCAGGGTTGCAGAGAGAAAGTGACTGGCCAGTGTCCCTCCCCACTTCTGGCTGGACTAGGGCTTTGTCCCCCAACACCCATCTGATGTAAAGGAGAATTTCAGCTATGAGAGCTGAACCAAGAACTGAGATGGCCACAGAAAGATGTCCCAGAGAGGAGGACACAGGAGATCATGACAAAATCCTGATGCTTTCGCGGCCTTGGCCCTGGAAGCAGTGTGACATGGGAGTTCTGGGCCCTCTGCCTACTGCTCCCTCTGTGTCACGGATCCTCCTTGTGCTTCAGGCATGAACAACATGGCTTGGTTGTTAATCGCTCTGATTTGGTCCTATTAATTGAATTATTGCCTGCAGAACACTCTTTAAGAGTCTGGTAAAATATCGGATGCCTCACTGTGAGTGTTTGAATGTTCCCCGGTCTTGGAGTAGAGCTGGGGTTTGACTTGGCCCAGGCCAGGCCAAGCTGATGGTGTGGGCAGTGAAGGTGTGGTTCCTGTCCAGGAAATAATGACTTCCTCTGTCCCTAGACGTGATGGAGGTGGTGCTGATCTTTCTCTGCAGCCTGCTAGTCCCCACAGTCCTGGCCAGTGGTGAGTAGGACAATGGCAGCCACAGCCCCTTCTAGTAGATTCTGGCCCTTGGTGGACTTGTAGCTGAAACCTTGGAACTCACTGCACATCAATGTCTGGACCAAATGTACTGGGCTTATATAAGTCACAAGTTCTTTTCTGGCCTGTTTCCCCACATGACAGAGGATGACAGACCTGTTGTTTGGGGATGCAAAAATAAAAAGGAGCACTAAATGTGGGTGTGCTGTCCTTGCTGGGGCTCTGGGCTCTACTTGCCCCAGGCCCTTGGGTTGCCCCTGAGCCCTGCAGGCCTGCCCTTCCATACATCTCCTGGTAATCCCTTTGTGGGTACTGAGATCTGGGAGGTAAGGTAAACTACTTCAGGATGTGCAGCTGTCTTTTTCCTGACCCTGCCTATTTACTTTTGCAGCAGCTGAGCAGGAGAAAGAAACGGACCCTTTTCATTATGGTAAGTGGCCTCAGCAACCCTGGATGCAGGGGATTGGGGGTTGGGGTGCAGCCCCATCGAAGGAGGAGTGGACACAGTCTCCTAGTTGTGCCCTGCTCCTGTCACTCACTCCTGGTTCCTTTGGCAGACTACCAGACCCTGAGGATTGGGGGACTGGTGTTTGCTGTGGTCCTCTTCTCTGTTGGGATCCTCCTTATTCTGAGTAAGTTTGTTCTTTGTTTATGGGGGCAGTGTCAAATCCTGGCCATTCTGTCTCTGGGAGGGGGAAGGAGACTGCCCTCTGTGTTACCTCCAGAACCTAACATAGCTGAGTGCATAGTAAGTGCTTGGTAAAACAGTGAAGCATGAGCAGGGAAAATATAGATGAAAATAAGCATAGGTAAGAATGGTCAGGGTTGTTTTCCCAGTCCTGTATCCGTAGGGCATGAGCAGGACAGTCACAGATAGGGGACAGGTGCTGACCCCGCTGTGCTCCAAGGGTTGTTCCTCTGGATCTTTGTTTCTGCACATGAGGCTGGTCTGCACAGGGCCCCTGCATGTACATGGTCAAGCACACTGTGCCAATATAGCTGTCCTAGCTGTGGAATATGCTACCCTGGGCTCAGACAAATCCTCTGCATCCTGTGATCATATAAAGCCATGCAAGGGTGCCATTTACCCAGCTCCTCAAGTTGCACAGACTCAGAGCAGCCCTCCTGTGGCTAGGCCAGGTGCCTGACCCTGATCTTACACTAGGAACATGAATTTGATGGCTGCTTTGCTTTTTAGGTCGCCGGTGCAAGTGCAGTTTCAACCAGAAGCCCCGGTAAGGATACCATGGCTCTGGTCATCTGGGGTGACGTTAGAAGGGTCGGGAGGGCTTCTGGCACGTGACTCTAATGGGCATTCTCTTGGATTCTTAGAACATTTGTATGTTGGTGGGGAGTTGGGGTAGGGGTATGAACTTGAGGATTGCCAGGAGACCGTGGGGTAAGGGAGAGGTCAGAACACTGCGGGCCAGCCTCTGATGCAGAAGGGAGCAGGGAAGCTGGCAAGAAGGAGCTGGAACTTTGCCTGGACCCTTGTCCCAACTAGGCTTGGGCTTTGGGAAGCAGAGGGCCTCGTGGCCTCTGTTGAGGTTAGGTTCTCTCTACAGAACCTGGAGATTCTATCCTTGTGCCTCATCTGTTTGGGGTTCTTTGAGCTGAGTAGTTACTTGGCCTCTCTTTGTGTTCTCCATGAAGTCACACCCCATTAAACCACTACAATAACCAAGGGTGGCTTCCAACCTTAAAAGCCCAAATTCTATGGCAGGGCACACCCCACCCCCACATGACCCTGGGTCCCTTCCCAGTACTTAGTTATCTTCGGGGCTGACTGAGAGGTGCCTGTAAATTCCCTGTCCCCTTCATTCCCAACTTCTCCCTCACCCCACAGTGCCCCATGGTAGGCAGGGCTTGAGCCCCTCAGATGATTTGGAGGTGATAGGTCACAGATGGCCCTGCTCTAACCAGCAGTGATATTCCAGGTTTACCCCAGAGACCTCTGACAGGCTGTATCTTCCTCTAACAGGGCTCCAGGAGACGAGGAAGCCCAGGTGGAGAACCTCATCACCGCAAATGGTACTCAGCCAGGTGGAATGGAGAGGGACTTCATGTGTGCCACAGAGGGGCTGGTGTGAGGGGTCATGGCCTCCTTGGAGCTCACCAGACCAGCTCCCATAGTGCTAGGACTGGGCTGGCCAGGGTGTCTGCACTGTTACCTCTCACCTGTGCCAAACAGGCCAGATGCTTTTACAGAGATCCCAACTCATTAATGTGTACTTGGCCCCTAAGGTGGGCATCGCTACTCAGGTTTATAACTGAGACCCAGAGCCCAGGTTCTTGTAATTAGCAAGTTGCAGGGAAGGATTTGTACTCACATCTGTGTGATTTGAAGTTCCTGGCATCGTGTACAGGTTGGCTGCAGCATGGGTTGGCCCTTGGGTGAGGGACCCGTAACTTTGTCTATTCTGGTTTCCTTTCCAGCAGCGGAGCCTCAGAAAGCAGAGAACTGAAGCCCAGTGAAGGTGAGAGGCTCTGTGACAGGGTATTCCACTGTCGCGGGACTGGGCAGGGGCGTCAGGGTCGGCGGTGGGTGGGGGGAGTCCTGGGCTGCAGGAGGTGCAACTTTATTATGAGCCTGCTCTGAGGACGCCTTCAGGGGTATGAGAGGGACAATGGAACACAGTCCCAGAGACAGCGAGGTGCCCCACAGCTGCACACAGTGAGTGTCTGTGAATGTTTGTGAATCCTTCCACCCAGCGTAAGGCTCAGGCTTGTAGGTTGCTATTCCAGTCACCACACAGGTATGTCTTCGGTGGAAATTAGAGTTAGGGAAATACTCTCTCTATCAAATCACAGAAGGATGATGAATCAGAAAGTACCCTACAGCCTCTTTCTGTAAATAAATTATATCTTTCCAACACTCTTCAAAAGTAGGGAAAATTATAAATGATGTCTCCATTCCGGCAGCATTACCGCTTCTCAACACCTGGGGGCACTGTTTAGCAGCCATCTGCCTCACTCTCCTTAGCAGGGTGTAGGAGAATGCATAGTGATTTTTGACTAGAATTGCTGCAGCCTGCCAGCCGTAAATCACAAAGGTGGGGCTGAAACCTATTCTATAGTTGAAGAAATTGAGGTGGGAGAAAGTAGCCATTCAGATTAGTACGTGACAGTCTAAACCTGAACATAGGTCTCTGTGACTAACTAGGTTAGTGCCCCCTCACTACGCTCTGCCCTCTCTTTATCCCCTTAGGGCAGACCTTGGAATATATGAAGGCCCAAATCCAGTCTTTTGTCAGCTCAAATAAGATAGAACCGTATCCTACACTGAAGTGAAGAGAGGTTTCGCCAGCAGCAGTGAGCGGTGCCTGTGGCATCTCAGTTCCTTCCTAGGGGCATGTATGCCCAGTGGGTGGGCGGAGCAGGGCTCACTGAGACCCTTTTTAGGATGGGGCTCTTCAAGGCAAGTGGCCACCCAAGCTGGGAGCGTCACAGAGCCCCAGAAGGCAGGTGTTCTGCCCGTCCCTCTGTAGCTGGAAGGCAACACTGAGAGCATGAGGTGGTTTGGGAGACTCAAAGGAGGCAGCCTCCGAAAGGAATGTCGTTTTCTTACTTCTTACACTAGGTGTTTCTCAAAAGCCCTTTTCTCCTAAGTCCAGGCCTGTGAGCAACTGATGGGGCTGTCTGGGGTTGCCCAGTGCAGCCCACAGGGCAGAAAACCTCCTCTTGGGGCCCGCCCTCCACACGCCTGCATCCCCTTTCTGTGGCTCTCATCCTGCCTCACAGCTGCAGCAGGACAGGGGCCTTTGAGGGGATGTGATCCCAGGAATTTCAGTGGGCAGCTTGGCTGGGCTGAAGAAGAGAACAGATGAGGGCACTTGAAAGCAGCCAGAGTTTTAAATTCTTTCCCTCTTCAGCCTCAAGAACCTGAGGGCAGCTGCTCCAACCTTTAGCTGCAGATATCCATAAGAAAACTGGCCGCTCCTGCCGCAGATCTTTCCCCAGGAGAAGCCAACAACTTGTGCGTCCCTGTGCTCTTCCCTGTCCCTGCTAACCCCAATTCTCCACGTATCATGCGTTTCACACGGGCCTTCCGCACCCGCAGACTGCTGTCTCGTCACCACCTGTGCCGTGTGTGTATGTGCGTGTGCACGTGTGTGCGTGTGTATATACTGACTGTGATCTTTGTGGCTATTTGTGTGTGGACAGTATTGCATTTGTGAACTGTAGATTCACTTTCCTGGGCAGGAGCCGTGCCCAGTTGCCATCGGCTCCTCCCTGTCACCCTGGGGGCCTCCATTGCTTCCTGCTCCCTGGAGTCTGCTTTGCCCCTGAAAGACCTGCCCCTGTCTTGATTTGGGGATGAGGGTAGAGTAGGAACCCCCACCTCTCTTGGGACCGGGAAGGTTTGCATTACCTTCATCATGGCCTTTCATGGACCCTCTTCAGTCCTCTCGCAAGAACCTTGCTCTCATATTCTATCCTGGCCCAAGTCCGTTTGGAAGGCCTCAGCTATTGCAGGTGCAGAGAAGGAGCTGGGGAGCCCAGTGTTGCTGCCAGGCAGGCTCTGCCCAGCCTCAGTTGTTTTTCTTCTTGGGTCTTCCACCATGGATGGGATCCCTACCTACCCTACCCATTCGTGGAACACCCGAGAAGTCCAGGCCCAGGGCTTCTACTCTGCTCCTTGGGAATGTGCCCCTTGCATATCTTCTCAGCAATAACCCCAGGGGCTCTGGAGTGCTCCTGCCATCATCCCCCTTCCTGTTTCTAAGACATCCATCTACAGCTCAGCTCTCCCAGACTCAGTCTCCCATCCCTAAAGTTGGGTCCTGGGAAGTTGATGGCTGAGGGATTCCGATTCTGTTCGGGTCAGCACGCAGGGAGAGCAGGAAGGGCTGTGCTTCTCTGCCCATGTCCCATTGGCCAGGCAGCAGCAGTACTTCCTGCGTCCTCTCCGCTTGTCAGTCAGTGGTCAGAGTGGTGAGTGATGTGTGAGCAGTGGTTGTGTTGCCCGTCAGAGGCTGGCAGGGTTGCGTGTAGCCCTGCTGGAGAGCAACAGCAAGAAATCGAAGGTCAAAAGAGAGTGGAAACTCCAGCCAGATCCCACCCCATCTGTCCATTGTATTCCCATGGAAACTAAACAAACCTTGCCGTGTGACCAGGACTGCTGCTCTCTGTCTTGTGATCTATCCTCTACAACAACAGAAAAGAAATAAAACATCATTGTTTCCTAGTGGCTCTGAGGTGCTTTTCTTTCTGTAAAGAGCTTGAGTGTTTGTAGGGCCTTTGGCACTTGGAGGAGGTAAGGGCTGGAGAGCTGCCAGGGGAGAGCGTGTTTATTTCTTCTGCTTTTCTAAGTGACTCCTCCTCCTGGTTCTCCTTTTTTTTATTCTCCTTCCATTCCTCCTTCATGTCTCCTTGTTTCTCTTCCATCTTTCTCTTCTGCCCCCAGCCTTCTCCCTGGGATCCTGGGATCCTGGGATCAGCCTCCATCCCCCAGCAGAACCTGAACATTTGTACTGTTTTGGAAGACAAAAGACTGGGTGATAGTGGCTTGACCAAGGGTTCACTGGACTGCAGTAAAAGGTCATAGCTTTTTTCGTAGGTCAGATTGGGGGCCATTAACTACCTAAGGACTTGAAAGTGAGTGCACCTGCGAATCGCTTGGGTTATGCTCAGAGAGTTAACCTCCTTTCTTCCCACTCAAATGTCCCCTCCTCTGGGCAGCCTTCCTGGATGTCGGTGGAAGGTGTCCCTTCCTGTGCTCTGATCACATTTGGTTCCTCCATTATCTTGACACATAACACTTTATCTGGCATCCAAACTGCAGAGGCCAGACAGGTTATGTCATTATTCAGCTATGAACGGGGCAGAGGAGCCGTCCCCAAAATTCCAGTACCACTTTTTAAAAAGTACGGTTGGCCACATGAACACAGCTGGGGTTGGATTCTGCTAGGTGCCGCCCTCCTGTAGCCTTTTGGGTGTCTGTGGTGAGACAGTTCCCCAAGGGCGAGGAGTACATCTTCTATCATCTCAGGGTCTCAAAGAAACCTTCATAGCCCCTGTCTGGGTCCATCTGCTGCCTGAACATCCCCGGACCTGTTTGGGACCTTTCCTACTTCTGTTCTCACTTCTGCCTCCATCCCCTGGGTCTCTGAAAAGACAGAGACTTAAAGCTGAGATAAAGCTCCACATTGTCCACCCAGTGATCATGGCGTTAAAAAAAAAGAAAAAAAATCTACGAGTAGCCTAGGGCTGCTAAATAGGCTGATGACCATCATTCATGGTGCACTGAATACATCAAGTAGTTCATGGGCCTGGAAGCAGGCGATCGAGATCCCTAGAGGCCCCAGAAACAAAGAAAATTCTGGGTGCCTCTCCAAGATGTTGAAAACAAAACATTAAAATAAGTGATTCCTTTGCCCTAATAGGGGCTGGCAGTTAGCACTCTAGCCTCTGTCAAAACGATTACCCCAACTTTGCCAGAGTCTCAGCAACCACTTAGGTTTCCTCCTGGCTGTCTCCGCTTTATTCTGACGTAGCAGGACAGTGCCATTTTACAGATTCTCTGATATGTCTGAGACTGGCCACAGCCACACAGCTCATGGGCACAGAAGCTTGGGGTGGACCCCAGGCTTCCCACAGCATTATGAGACTGACATTTAGGGGAAGGACAGGCGACTCGTTGGCTGATGCGGCCTCCGGTGGAGCATAGCTGAACCTCCAGAGCATAAACTAGCCGGGCTGCTCCAGGGAGGCTCACATAGGAAGCTTGGGAATAAGAAGCATGAGGAACAAAATAACTGACGATCAACGTGGTGACAGTAATGACAGCAGCTGATACTCATCGAGTGCTTCTTTGTGCTGGGCTGAAGACTTCACATGGATGAACACATTCCCACCTGACTTCCTGGCGCTCTGGAGCCCCGGGAAGGCAGGCCCAGGTCTGTGTTCACTCAGCCTTCAAGAGCGTGACACTATGCAACACTTGTTTCTATTCATGATTTGGTTTAATGTGGCAAATGTAATTTGCTTGAATGGGCAAGCTGTCCCTTGCCCTTTCCCAGAAGGCTTGCTAAGTCTGGGACTGACCTCAGGGGCCCTGTAGATTTCACCTCACAGCTCCTATGAATTTGACCCGAGTTGTTCACGTCTCTTTGCTCGGAGGTGTTCATACTTACTGCCTGCTGTAATAATGGCGATCAATCTGCCTTCTGGGCCCCCAGGTGCAATGGCCCTCCCACCTCTCTCGTTTTTGTTATTTTTTTCATATTGTAGATTAGAACTTGCCAAACGGTTCTTGAAAGAGAGAGACAAAGTGCAAGCAGCAGGGGTGGGAAGAGGGATACCAGGTTGGCGCACACCCACAAGGTCGCTGGGCGCTTGTCCTCTCCCCCAGGACCATGGGCTGGCAGACTGGCTGGGCAGGGCAGGTGGAGGAGGGCTCTCCAGCTCTGTCTGGTTTGCCCCACCTTGTCCCTGTTGCTCTGCCTCTCCCCGGCCCCAGCGAGAGAAGAGTCAGGTGTATTTGCCTGAGTTGGGGGAGCAGCTTTGTAAATAGCTGTCTCCAGGGCACAGAGAGGAGGAACTGCCACCTCTCTCCATTAGTGTGATTCATTGCTGCCACAGCCAGGCTGCAGGGGAGGGGGATGAGGGCAGAATCAGCCAGCTCAAGCCAACCACCTGCTGGTTTTATGGAGCCAAGGCCAGTCTCGGGGCCAATTGCACAATAGTAGGCACCTGCCAAGGCGGTGATGGCTGGCCAGGTGATGCTGCGATCGGATGTCCTGAAGGACTCAAGGTAGTAAGGCTGGAGGGGGTGGGTCCCTGCCCCTGAGCCCATGTGCCCCTCTCCACCCTCGGTGTGTGAGCTTCGGCAGGCCCCAGCCTCTCTGTTGGCTTCCTTTAGTCCTCCCTCCATAGGGTGAACAGGGCCTCCTGCTACCATGTGACCTTAGGAAAGCTCCAAGCCTGGTGTCCTTAACTATATGACAGGGAATGATCAGTAGCTTCCTGTTACTGCATGGGTCAAAGGGATGCGATGGACATACATGCACTTTGAAAATTCTATGTGTAGATGTTATATAACCAACGTTGGCGTCACCTTCCATTCCTATGTCCTCTTTCTTGGACAACAGGGACCCCCCCCCACCGTCTCTGAGATCTGGGGTCAAGTTCTGACTTGTCCACATCCCACCTGCACTTTTCCCTTCTGTAAAATGGGGGTCACAAAGCCTGCCTGGTTGAATTGTTAGGAGGACCAGTCGGATCTTTGGAACTCTCAAAGCATCAAGTGGACAGGACTTCTGCCAAGTGAGGAAGCCTGGGCTCCAGGCCCTGTGAAGACACAGCACTGAATAGATACTACGACCCGGGTGTTCCACAGGCCTGCATGGACCTTGCGGTTTGTCATGACCACAAAGCCACAGGACTGCCCTTTGGTCCACATCAGTGAAATCCCAGAGGTAGAAGAGGGAAGGAAAGGGCAGCATGGGTAGGCTGCTCAGGAGGTCCCAGAGTGGTTGCTCAGAGCTGCTAAGGGGGTGTGGTTACTGGAGGGAAGGGCTGCAGAGAAAGAGCCTCTGTTCCCTGTTCCTGGGCAAGGCCAGATGTGTGTTCTGAGAAAAGTCAAGAATGTATTTTTCTCCAGGGTGTTCGCTGTGGGAGAGGTGGATGAAATGGGTTTGCCCTTGTCAGCAGTTGGTGACTTTGACTCTTAGAGTACATTGCCCTTTGGCAGCTCCCAGGACCTCTGTGCCCCACAGCTTGGGCCATCTTGAAGCCACCACTTAAGGAGTGGACCCTCCAGGGCCCACCTCCTCCCAGACCAGCCTTATAAGACCCCAGGGACCTGGCATCTGTGACTACAGCAGGAGACAGGAGCCAGCACTCCTCGGTGCTCAGGACCTCTGGGTGGTGTAAAAAGGGCTGCCACCTTTTCTTTCCAATGGCTTTGCATGCCGTGCAGGTGGGGATGGACCTGAACCAGGGACCAGACTTTAGGGGTTCTGGCCTCTGCCTCAATGAAGTACCTCTCTGCAGCTGTGCACAAACACCTGAGGAACTGGGTTGGGGTCTGGAGTCCAAGGCTCTGGATGCTGACCTGAAACCCCTTGCAAAGGCATGGCGGAAGGGGCTAGAGAGTCCCATCCTGGGAAGGAAGAAGGCAAGGGCCTCTGTGAGAGTGCTTCCTCTGAGCACCAGGGAAACAAAGGCCAGCTGGATGTCCCAGCCTCTTACCTCCCTGCCCCCATCAACCGAATGACCCCCCCCCCCCCCCCCCCCCACC